TAGGTGCAGCTGACCATCGCGGGCGACTTCACCCTGTTCTTAATCTTCCGTATACTTTCGTATTGTTTTTTGTTTCTTCTAAATATCTGTATCTAAAAGTTCATATTTTCTGAACACGCCCAGTACGTTCCACTTAGGAGCTTCCTTTCAGTCGACCTTCGTGACTGGCAGCCGAATCTATTTGCATGATGGATCTGGAGTTTTCGCCAGCAAGCTAAATGAACTGAGATTACTAATCTCTGGACAGAAGCCTCGCATACTTGTCCTAACAGAGACCTGATTGACTGAGGAAATAAGTAGTGGCGAAGTCAGCGTTGGAGGCTACCAACTGTTCCGTTGTGATAGATTTCAACGTAGAGGAGGAGACACAACGATTTATGTGTCAAAGGAAATTCCGTGCTGTCAGCGACAAATATCCGATGGGGCGCCGCAAAATGTTGATATGAGTGCATGCAAGATATGTATCATACAACTACCGAAACTGAACCTGTGAATTGTCTACCAGCCTCCCAGCTCCAATAAAATCGCCGATATAGAATTACATAGTGCGCTGGAGTTGTTATGTAAGCAGGGAATTTACTACTTCTGGGTGAATTCAACGCTGCAGGAATAGACTGGAATATTCCCCTAACAAATGCCCTGTCTACGTTACTTGACCACAAGCTACTACAACACTCCCTGAATGAATACCTCATTCAACACATAAAATCCGGAACGAGACTGAGAGAAGGACAACGATCTAACTGCTTATATCTCATATTCAGTAAAGAAGAAGGAGTAGTAGGCGAAGTGAATCCACAACATCCACTCGATTTAAGCGATTATATTGCTTTTACCTGCGTGTGCTCTCTCCTATCGAACCAACAACCAGAAATCAAGAGGCGCAGAAATATTTGGACGGGTAACTTTAACGCAATGTGACGTACTATTTCGAAGGAAACCTGGCTGTTCGAAATAGAAGATTCAGAAGAATTCTGGCAGTACTTTCGCGGGATTATAGAGCGTCTACTTGACTCCCATTGTCCAATAAAAATAACAAGATCATGTGCCTGACCGCCGACAAAATACCCATGAAGAAGAAACAGATACTCTGGAAAAAGTATTTGCAAATTCGAGATCCAACTTCATTCGCCGAATATAAGGCTTAGCGCAATAAATGCCGCAACCAAATGCGGGTTGCTAGAACTTCTTTCGAGCGTCGACTGATAGCAGAATCCATTACATGTCCCAAGAAGTTTTACGGGTACATCCGCAGTAGGAGAAAACATAGGGACGAAATTGCGTGTCTAAAGGATCGCCTCGGAAACTTGTTAATTGAAGGGCCACAGAAAGTGCAATTGCTGTCACGGTTTTGTCAATCGGTTTTTACGAAGGAGTCCTTAGATGAAGATCAGCAGTTTGAAATGGACCGGGACAGTCGGTAGCTTCAAATGCGCTATGATACTGCCGTCATTGAACCCATCGCCTTTTCCGTCAAAGAAGTAAGACGCGCCCTCAGTCAAATAAAACCTGATAAGTTTCCTGGACCAGATGGAATTCCCGGCCTGATACTTAAGGAGCTACCAACGGAGCTGCCAAATCCTCTTTCAACTATCTTTGAGCTGTCGATGGGAACAGGAAGGCTACCATCACGGTGGAAGACAGCTAACCTCGTTCCCTTACATACGGGTATATCAGGATGACAACAAGCAGCTTCAGGCCTATTAGCATAGCTGGCCTCCAAGGCAAAACGATGGAAGCTCTAGTAAAGAGCGCTATACAGCAGTGTTGTGACGAAAATAACGTCTTGCAGGATTTTCAACATGGCTTCCGGGGAGGACCTTCCTGTCTCTCAAATCTGCTAGCTTATCTGGAGATCTGGACCAGGGCTCTATAAGAGGGTTTTGAGGTCGATGTCGTGTACATCGATTTCCGCAAAACTTTCGATACTGTTCCGCACCCACGTCTTCTTCACAAATTGAGCGCCATTGACCTCCGGGGAGATCTTCTGAAGTGGATTAGGGCGTTTCTGGTTGGTCGGAAACAACGTGTCTGTATCGAAGATGATATGCTAAAATGGGCGAACGTGACCAGTGGTGCGCCTCAAGGCTCCGTTCTGGGACCGTTGCTCTTCATCCTTTACCTTAATGACAGCCTTCGGGAACTCGACTGCGGCAAAATAATGTTTGTCGAGGACGTTAAGCTCTAGCAAGTCATTAGGGGTCCGAGTGATCAGAGACCCCCTTCAAGATAATCTCCATGGACTGCAAGCGTGATCGGAGAAATGGCTTCTGGATTTCTATGGGAGAAGTGTGCCGTCCTTCATCTGCGTCCAACCAACTCTCACTCAAATGACAGCCTGAGGACATACCACCTGAAAGATATAAGGTTCCCCGCAGAATTTTCACAGAAGGATCTCGGGGTTTGGATACAGAACAACCTGAAACCAACACTGCAGTGCCACAAGGCTGCAAAAAACGCCATGGGAGTGCTCCATGCAATCAAAAGGGCGTTCGTAGCCTTTGACCAAGACCTTTTTGGGAGAATTTACGGCAAATTTGTTCAGCCCCACGTAGAATATGGCATACAAGTATGGCGGCCATGGCTAGTAAATGACCAAGCATATCTCGAACGGGTACAACGTCGGGCAGCAAAGCTGGTAAGCGATCTAAAAAGCCAATCCTACACAGACTGACTGAATTGCCTTAATTCATTCCCTCTGTGTTACAGGCAGCAAAGAGGTGATCTTATCCTCGTCTAAAATGCATGGTCTTGAGTATGGATTTAGCTTTGAGGACATGTTTCAGTGGCTTCTTTCACCCAATCTTCGTGGTCACTCGATGGAGTTACGGACAACAATGTCCAGGCCGAATCTTCGTTCTGAATTTTTCACGCAGAGGGTAGTGGAGAAGTGGAACGATCTCCCTCAGTCAGTCGTGGAAGCGACGTCTCTGCAACTTTTCAAGAAACGCTTGGATGATTATTTATGTCCCCTGTTTTCCCTCGACAATTTAGAATCTGAACTAATACCCCACGACCCCGCAAATGTTTTCTTCTCTGAGACAATGCTACTCAAATGAATCAAGTACTGTTTTAACGGCGAATATTGTCATTGTTCGTGTGCAGTTATTTCTAACGAGCTGGCATGTAATCAATGGGGTTTTCAAAGGCTTTGTCCATTACCCTCACCAAATAAACTGAAATAAACTGTAACATCAAAGGGTGCTGATAACCACTCTCCATAAAAACAGTTTCTGAGCATTCCATTAAATAAGGGTCTGCTTCAAGCATTATTTAAAATGCTTTTGTCATTTGACACCGAACCCCGCCTGAAATGATAGTTATCTCTCCATGCTATGCGTCTAAAATGCGATTATCTTCATTATTCCGTTATTCTCATTAAGCACGGTTGGTGCACTACAGTTAATGACGTCCGGCTGCTTTATATCTTACCACGAGTTTTGATTAACTTTGGGGTGTGATCGTCTCCTGCTTGCACCGCTGTAAACTTAAGGTTACTTGGCACAGTTACTTTGAGTAAATTTCCTTAAGAAATAAGGTTTTAGCTCTTGGACCCTTCACTCATATCCAAAAAAACAATTGCATCCTTTTTTAAATCAGTAATTCTAGAAAGTATGCAGTCATCCGTGCATGCGAGTCAGGCGAAAACTGACGGCACTGATAAGTTTTATCATATATACAGTCGTTTCTCAACAAAGGAGTACCTTCTTATAATGTTTTTGCATTTTTGTCAATGATTTAGTATATTTATTTCAGAATGGTCGGCCCTTCATATATGCCGATGATCTGAAATTTGCATATAAATATAAGCCGGCAGATCGTGACATCATGCCCGACTTCCTAAAGATAGACCTACGGGCCCTTGCCTAGTGGTGCCGCACATGGCGCCTTTACTTTTCTTGGCATAAAAGGTCAGTCATGGTGGTCGGCGATGACCGACAGTTCGACCATCGATTTCGATGATGTCCACCGTGTGCCCCACAGACTGCATTGTGGGAGCAGGGACGGTGACTTACGCAGGGGTTTATAGTGCCAGTAGACTTGCGTAGCATCTATCTACACTCTCTCCCCCTCCCCCGCCTGACAGAGTCAAGAAGACCGAAGACGGGGAAGGCCGCAGGTGGATGGCTCGGACGGATCCTCACCTTGGCGTTCCACCACACCCCCTGGTCCACACAACAAATAACCAGGATTTCAACCAACACAAGAGAGATTTGGAGGCTGGCACGACAGAAGCCGCACCTAGGCGTGCCGCCAACACCTGGCTCGGACCCCACACTGTGGTAGGAGTGCCATAAAGGCCATATTAAAAAGGAGCCATTGCAGCCTGACTCTCAGACCGCCTCCAGTCAAGGAGGAGGTCCAAGTTACCCCGTCAGTAGGCAACCTTCCAAGCCACGGCTTTTAGCGCACCGTGATAGTTTCAAGCGCGTCAGATTGTTTATAGTGAGGAAAATGCGCTGAGTCGTCGACCTCACTCTTCCTTTCCATCCCCACACCCCAGCCGCTGTCCGAGCCGGTCAGCAGACTGGAGTGGGAGATGGGCGCGGTGGCTGCCATGGCCGACTGACCATGCCTGCGCGCGCCACAGCACGACCTGGCCCCCCATATATACAAACACCAGGATTTCACACAACGGGGATTAAGCGGCTTGTCTCTCACTTGCGTGAGAGTGCCGTGGAAGGTGCTGTTTCAGCCCGTCCCCAGCCCACCAGTCCGCCACTCCACACAACACACACACACACAACGGGACGGACTGCGTGAGCCGAGAGCGGGCATCAGTCAGCAGCCTTTCTATCCACGACGCTTGACGTGTCGGGATAGGCTCGTACTCAAGTCACCCGTGCAGCCGAAGCCGCATAGAGACCGAGTCGAGATGCACACTTCCCACTTGCGTGGTAGGTGGCAGTTGGGTGCTTGCGATGGGTGCGTGTTGATGTGTGGTGGTGATGGTGGAGGAGGTAGGGAGTGTGTGAATGTGTGGTGTAACCGGTGGTTGTCTATCGCAGCTCGTCGTGGATGCGCATGTGACCGAATAGGCCCATGCGATGCCTGGAAGTGCGAGGGCAGTGTGGGCAGTTGAGACGAGCGTGGTGGGTATAGGTTGGTGCTCCAGGCACTGGCTCGCCAGTCTCTGTACGATGGATTCGCAAGTGATCGACCAGGCCGATGCGTGAGGTGAAGGTGCGTGGGCAGTGTGGGCATGAAGGGCCGGCGTTGTCCGTGTCAGCTGTAGAGGAAGCGGTGGTGGTGATGATGATGGGCGCGTGTGGCGATGGAGCCATGATGGCGCTGGGCCTGGTGGGTGTGATGGATGTGGTGGGTGTGTCGGAATTGTGGTCAATTCCGCTCTCGTGAATGCGCATGTGGCCGAATAGGCCCATGCGATGCGTGAAGGTGCGAGGGCAGTGTGGGCAGTGGAGGCGAGTGCGGTGGGTGTAGGTTGGTGCTCCAGGCACTGGCTCGCCAGTCTCTGTGCGATGGATTCGCAAGTGACCGACCAGGCCGATGTGTGAGGTGAAGGTGCGGTCTCAGTGAGGGCAGGTGTAGTCCTGATCCTCATCGCTGGTGTTGGGAGAGGTGGGGGTGGTGTCTGTTGTTGTGTCGCGGTTGGTGATGTGAGAGACGGCCGCCTGAGCGGCCGCCGTTGGGGCAGTGGAGGAGGAGGAGGAGGAGGAGGAGGAGGAGGAGGAGGAGGAGGAGGATGGAAGTGGCGATGACCACCAACCCTAACTAAGTATTGACGGTCACGACATAAATGTGCCTGGGGTTGTGAAGGATCTGGGTGTATCATACTCCAGGAGCCTCAATCTTTCGGGGCACTGCTCCTGATAGTCTCCAAAGCCCGCAGAATGACTGGGTTCATCCTCCGAAATTTTAAAACCAGCGATATTCGAATGGGCCTCTATAAAATGTGCGTCAGACACGGCCTGGAATTCTGTTCGTCTTTATTTAGCCTACTGCGTGCCGGTGTGCGGAAGAAAGTAGTTTCTATCCAGAATTTTTGACAAAAGAGTTTTAACCTCGGACCACCGATACTTGACCTATCATGAGCGTTGGGGGCCTACACCCCTTGGGCCTTGACCCCTTGTGGATGTGGCCATTTCACAAACAGCAGTTTTTTCTCATGAACCATCCAAACTATCCAAAAACACTATCATCTGTATTTATTCCCTGGGATGTTTTTTCACTGCCAGCCAGGTCTGTATTTTATCTTTTCTGACAATGCCTGTAAACCGGATTTAGATACAGTAAAAATGATAATTATTATCATTATTAGTCTGCATTTAAGTTCCTCATCGGTTCCAGGAGGGACCACCGCAGCAGGAAGTCCGCTCTATGCTCTAACTGACCTCTGTAAGAAGGCGACTCGTCGGACGTCCATGTGGACCAACATTCTTTGCAGTTTGAAGAGATGACTACGCAGACCGTACGTCCCAGCCCATTTGAAGAAGTCCGTGAGCTCTAGGACACTTTAGTGGCGTCTGACAATCCGATAGGTCACCGCGCAGTTGTCTGTTATTTAGGAGAAACAGATGGAACTCAGCCAGTCTAGATTCTTAAGACAGATGACCAAGACCTTTCACCATTTTTGTAACCCTCGTCTGCCTTCATTCCAGAAGGTGACAATCCTCCTTGAACCACGGATGCTAAGTCTCTATGGCCTAGTCCAATTGGGATCGAGCGAAGGTCCGTGAGTTTTTCCGGACAGTTTGTTACCAATCCGTGCAATGTTCGTTTCAACGCGGATAGTAATTGTGTCGTGCGTTTAATTGCCTTTAATCATTGTGGCGAGGGCTTTATTCGATGAGGTCATTAGAAAGCCGAGGTCCTTCTGTTCCATAACAGTTTTAAGGGCCGTTCATCTAGAAGAGGTCGGAAAGAACCCTCTTCTTCGTTTATCCTTCTGGCACAGAGTTTTTTGACCACATACTTAACAAAGTTAAAATTTAGGAACCAACGAGCAGATTAGCTGCTAAGCCGATGAAGACTCTCTTGAAGCGTGTGCATATCTGCGTCAGATCTGACAGCTCTCTGGAGTTTGAAATCACCGGCAGACATGGCGGCGCTTCGACCTAGCTTGCTGGTACAGACATTGTTATAGTCTAGAAAAGGTAACGGCCCAAGGGCTGAACCCTAGAGGACGCCACTTAAACCGGGAATGGGAGTTAACGTCGAGGCACCGACGCATGCGGTTTGGGGTCACCCTCCAAGAAAATTTAATATCCAGGCCAGCAGCTTTCCACTTATCCAAATTTTGAATAGTTTGTAAAGTGATGAAAGTGTCCGTCCGGGCGTTTAAATAAAAACGACCTACTTATCAATATAAATTTTCATGTGGAACGCTGTCAAACGCCTTCCTGAAATCAGTGTAGATGACGCCTAACTTACTCTGCTCGTCCAGTGAGTGAACCCATTGCTCAATCGAATGCAGAAACTGGAAGGGCAAGAACGGTACTCTCTACAGCCGTGTTGGGGCCCAGGGAGTGAGTGGTTCTCCTTCAGGAGCTTTAATATCGCCTTCTTAGGTATCATTTTCATCACTTAACAATAGCTGCAGGTTAGATCGACGGGACGATAATTACTGACGTTGGCTCAAGTTCCATTATGGTATGTGGGGTAGATATTTGTTTTCTTTCATTCGGTTGGCAGTCTTTCCAATTCGAATGACGAATGGCAAATATGCACCAGTGGTTTGGAGGGATCATTTGCCAATTTTTTCAACATGTTTGTGTCATCTTTGTAAGGGGTATCCCTGTAGTCCACTCTCCCTGATAAACCATCCCGATGAAGCTGGATGCGTGGTTGCTTTAAAAAGCATCCCTGCATTATTGGACCTTTTGCAGATTTGGATAGTCCGTTTGACCTAAGTGTGAAAAACTTGGTCGTGTCGTTTGGACTTGAACCCACAACAGTAGCGAATTCCTCGGGAAATTAAAGTCAAGACTAAAAGGACCATCAGAAATATTTATTTGTTCAGGATTTACCTTGACAAAATGCAGTCAGCCCTGGCGACCATGACTCAGCGGACCTCGTTTCCTTTCCTAGACTACTAAAACAGCTTCTCTTCCTAAGCGTGGAAGTAAAATTTCTAGAAACAGTACGAATAGGGAAAAAAGGCCAAGCCAGACTAGGTAAACTGAATCCGCATCCTCTCAGAATTGGAGCAAGTTATCTTGGTCCTATTCAGAAAACCCATGTCCCTAAACTCTTATTAGGAGATTTTTCACCGAGACTACTCTCCAGTAAAACTTCTAGAACACTGAAAACTTGTCTCCAAAGTAAAATTAAGTCCAACGGATGGCGAACACTACCTGGTAATCCTCAGGGAAAGTCGCTCTTAGGCATACGATGATTTAGCCGAAGCGGCCAGGAATACTTAGGACAACGGCAACTACTCAGGTACCGCAAACAACATTATGGAACCAGGAGCTCAACGTCACAGAAGAACTAAATCCGTACGACCCAGTGATCCGAGAGAAGAAAGTAAATTTAATGTAGCCAATTAAGAAACGAACGGCACCAGCAAAAAGGACATCCGAAGGGAAGCAACACGGCCTAAACAGTAACTATTCGAACGGAAATCTGGCTGGCGAAATCGCGATGCTTCTAAATAAATACCCAGTCTGACATCCTAACTTGGTGAACTGTATACCTGCCTCATCGAAAAGTCGCCGGATACGCCAAATAAAATCGGAATCTGGCTATTCGGTAAAATTCTCGGTAACCAAATAGAATTGTTTGGATACCATATATATCGAATGGACGGGGAAGTCTTCAGGATGATTGTGTAAATGGAAGAAGTTTTGTTGATGCCCGAAAAGATCACCAAGTTTGCGAGCAGCATGAGAGGTGTTTGGTTGGCAATCAAGGCTACTAGTTCCCGCCTCGGTCTGCTAACTGACGATCGACGAAATTCATCTAATGAAGGATTTGGAGTATTTCTCCAGTTGACTTATTGTTATGGTCATGGAAGAATCAATCGCACAACGAATTAACTGGAACGCCGTTCCAACGTCAAGCCAACAATCAAAGTTAAAATGTCATTTTTGCATAAATCAATCAAGCTGTTCCTCACACGATATATCGTGTTTTCAACCGAAACACATTTAAATCAAATGGCTAACTGCCATTTTTAAAAAATATCGAACAGCACGAACGAAGTCATCTACGTGCCCCATTAGGCCGAAATAAGTATGTAGAGGTGTTAAAAGATTCGAAGTCTCCAGGATCAGATAAAATTCCATTCAAAATGTTCGAAGAACTTGTAAGTTGACTTTCCGAAGTCCAGCCAATGCTATTTAAAAGTTAATTTTACACTGGACATTTCGCTCGGTTGATATTAAACACTTATGACTTCCCCATTCAAAAGAGGTATCCGGACGTCAAGAAAAAATTGCGGGCTTATAAGATTGACATGCATTCTCAGTAAAATTATACATAAGATCATGAAGGGTGAATTGGCACAATTCCTAGAAGTCCACACCTTTCTATCGAACAGCCAACAAGGGTTCCGGAGAAAAACCCTGCACAGCAAATTTGTTGTAAATTCGTCAGGGCTGGATCCGAACTCTTAAGAATAGGCTCGCGATTCATATCATAATCACAGACTTTCAGAGGGTCTCCGACACCGTGCCACACAAGAGACTGTTGCAAAAACTCGAAAGAATAAGAATCGGAAGTGGCTTCTCCAAATGAATAGTAGATTTTCTTGTGGATCGGCATCAGGTCATTTGCGCAAGGTCAAAAGAAATCGGTCGGGAATGGAATTACTCAGAGCTCAGTACTGGGACCCATTTTGCTTTTGGTATATGTGGACGATAGTTGAACCGCAATACACCAATATTCGTTGACGGTGTAGTAAGTCGAAATGTAATCCGGTGACCTGCCAACTCAGAATTACTGCAGATTAACGTAGATCGACTGAAAAAATAGTAAAGTCCTCGTCCTCTGCGACTAACCGTCGAAAACTTTCGCCTGGACAACCCAGTGAGACCCACTAGCTTTATGAATTTTGACGAAGATATTTCTTCAAGATTATTAGAACATTCGCTAAGTCTCAATTAGAATGCATCATACAAGAATGAAGAACGTGGGCTGTCCCACATCAAATCATTATTTAGAATAATCAAAAAAGGACTGCCAAAACGATTAAGAGTCAAAGCTCCATGGTCTATGCAACCCACCTAACAAACGTGAATATAAGTTAAGCAAAAGGCTTGTCGAGCACCGAAGCATTCTCTTTTTTGTTCTGGGCTTTCCAACTCCTGGAGGAGTTCACCGTCAGAGATAGCAGCAACAATAGAACAAACGACAGTTAAGTGGCATGTTAGCCAATCATAAATCAATGGCGCAAGGCTGGGGCTGACCGCGCGGACCTCTGTACGCCGACGACAGTTAGATAATTCGACCGACTGAGTTCTTATCCGAGGCGCAGGTTTCAATCAATCCTCGGCCTGTTTGATTTCCGGCGTGGGCAATCATCTTGGTGTCCGCGAACCTAAACCTAGGGCCCAATTTGTAGGTGCGTGCAGCCACTTGTGACAGTTCGTCACCTTGTTGTACAAGAAGCCAATGTTTGCGTATGCGCAATCCGAACATGCGCCCAGTCTGGTATGTGCAGCTGAAAGGCAGTTTTCACACAGCATACGATATACTACCCCAGACTGCTCCTCAGGCTTCAACCGGTATTTAACTTTCATGACCCTGCTGCGCATGGTAGCTTTGGACCAGTCTGCAATTCCGACATCTAGTTTCCCCTGAAATACGCTCGGTCTTGGTCTTTTGGGGCGACTGCGTAGGCAGCGACGGCAAGGTTTTGGTTTTTGGTCAAGGTTACATACTCCGAGGAGCATTTGTGTTGAGCAAGAGAGCCAAGCAAATAAGAACTTTGTGGCATCACAAATTTTGATCCTCCTTTCTGTCCTCATTTTAAAAGGAATAATATCTTTATTATTTAATGCTAATAGCAAATAAATGTAATGCTCCTTTGCCGACACTGTCAAAAATGAATCGCATCGTCGTATTTTCACACTAACGACAACCTTAAAGCATCTTGACCACCCCCATACAAAAGCCACCGCAAGATATTTTTATTCCTCTCTTTGACACGTTCAATTAAATATCGCCAGTTATGCCTTGTTTAATTTCCGAGGAAATTCATGCGCGAAATTGGAGTAAATCTTTCAAAACGGGCCTTTTCAGGCACGGTCCAAAGTTTGATATGAATATTTTAGCTGAAATTCATCAGCTACTGCGGAATAACCACTTAATATTCACAAACCTCCAACAGGCAGCCAGTAGTATAGAACTGTGCAATTATTTACCGTACTAACAACACAGGTATTAGCTAAAAGCCCAGACACGCGTGTTTCGCCGATCTTATGCCGCTGCCTGACGCAGATGCGGGCTGCAGCGCCGCAGCAAATGCCTTCGAAAAACCATTCAGTATAACATGGTCGCGGAGATAATGGGCCTCACGTGCTCCTTCCTCTGACCTGGTATAAGGGATCGTGCTGGCCATGCCCTTCTTCTCTTGAAACTGTCCTCTTTCGAAATAGGTGGCAAACTTTCAAATTGTATATCCTCTTACCTGGACGCTCGTATGCAACGAGTTATTGGTTGGTTGCGGGTGACTTTAATCTCCCCGAAGTCTGCTGGTCTCCGCCTTCCAGGCCCCAGAAGGCTCGAAGACTTTCTTGAGGCTGTGGATGTTGGGATGTGGAGTCAGGTTGTCGATTTTCCCACCCGGGGATCAAACATGCTTGACCTAATTTTCTGCAGAGGCTGCATGCCTTCGTCAGTGTCATCCCTAGGCCCACTCGGTGGCTCAGACCATGACACAGTTATTTCAGCGTTGAATCTCGAGGCTGACAAAATGTTGTCCCCAAAGTATAGCTTTTTCCGCGATTTCCTATCAACTCGCTCGACCGAGTTATTAACACACCCTAATTCCTTCGACTGGACTGATTTCTTCCTTAGTTTGGAGGTAAATGTTTGCACTGCTAAACTGTACAACATTTTGGATCCGCTTACTCCTCGTTTTTTCCCCGTTAGAAAATAATTAATGTTGCGGATGAGGTTTTCCCACCCTTGCCCTTTCGTCTCAGGTTGCGAAGGCTTTCTCGTCGATCCCATCTTCAGAACGACGTTTCTGTTCTATCCTTTATTTGTGATATTTTTGAGCGGGCTAATAGATTGTCTGAAGAAAAACGGCTAGCCGAAGAGGTTTAATTCGCTGAAACTGTTCGTTAAATGTCTCGAAACTTTTCTCCCGAAAAGCACGAACCCACAGACGGACGCAGCATCCCACCCTCCGAGACGCTCTCGGAAATCCTATAGTTGACGCCCAGTTAACTGCTGATAGCTTCTATGCTCTCCTGTTCAAAACGTTTATTGAAGACTCGACCATTCCGCTTCCGACCATCCAGGCATTGACCGGGACAGTTCTCGAAACTATAACTTTCACTCTGTGGGATGTGACTGTTGCGATTCGGCGTTTTCGTCAATCTCATAGCCCTTGACCCGATGGTGTCCCAGTAAGCATTTAAAAAGCCGATGCAAAAACGATTTTCCCATCCCTCTTATGCAAAATATTTAATCTCGCTCTTGAACGTGAAACTTATCCTACCTTGTGGAAGGAATCAAACATGTTGCCCATTCCCATGCATGGCCAATCTACATCAATTGATGACTTTCGGCCAATAAACACCCTCCCCGCAGTTTTGAAGAACTTAGAGACATTGATCAAGGATAAGATGATGTGTCACTTAGTAGTGAATAACCTACTGAGTGCTACTCACCATGGATTCCTCAAAGCTCGATCTTGTGACACCCGTCAACTCTCTTTCTTTGACTATGTTCTCCAATCGAGGGACAATGGTTTTGCACTTTACACAGTATATTTCGATTTCACTAAGGCTTTTGATCGTGTTGACCATGCCCTTATTCTCTTGAAACTGTCCTCTTTAGAAATAGGTTGCACACAACTAGTTAAGATTTCCAATGCTATCTCTAACCCCACATGTGCGAGGACTGGAGTCATTCAGAGTAGTGTACTCGGCCCGCTTTTATTTTGCCTTTTTGTTGACGATGTACCAGATTTATTTCAAAATGGCAAACCCTTCATGTATGCCGATGATCTGAAAGTTGCATTTCGGTATAAGCCGGCAGAGCGTGGCGTCGTGCTTGAGCTCCTAAAGAGCGACCTACAGGTCTGAGCACATGGCGCCTTCCTCTCTCTAGGCATAAATAGTCAGTCATGGTGATCGGCGATGACCACCAGCTCCAACTAAGTATTGACGATCACGACATAAATGTGCCTGGGGTTATTGAGGATCCAGGTGTCTCATACCCCAATAGCCTCAGTCTTTCGGGGCACTGCGCCCTGATGGTCTCCAAAGCACGTAGAACGACCGGAGTTATCCTACGAAACTTTAAAACCAACGACATTAGAATGCCCCCTTATAATATTTACGTTAGACTTGGCCTGGAATACTGTTCGTCTTCATTTAGCCTCATGCGTGCTGCTGATCGGACGATAGAATTCGTTAAAAAAATTTTTACCAAGAGCGTCTTAACCCCGCAACACTGACATTTGTCTCACCTAGAACGTTGCCGTCTTACAGGCCTTGATCCTTTATGGTTTCGTAGATTAGAAGGGGACTATTTTGCTATTTAGGCTTTTATATAATCGTACCTTTAAGCCACTCCCTACTTTAAGACATCTTGTCCACTCCCCCCCCCCCTCAAGGCGTAACAGTAACCGTGAGGTCTTTTTATTTCCTTCTCTGGTACTATGTTCCCGAAGGTATTGTCGAATTCGTAGCCCCCAAACTTGACCGACGAGGACAGCGGAACATAATTTAACACTCCTACTGATAACAAACAAGTACGCCAACACTATTGACTCATTATGTCAGGCTACGAACTGCGATCTTACCCAAATATATCGTCGGTTCTTTTCTGTAAATGCAACTGCTATTTGGAATAAACTACTCAGGAGTGTGAAAACTGCAAAATTATCCTTTTTTAAAGAGAACTATTACTCGATTTTTGCATTCAGAAAAATCCACAAATTTTGGGTGCGGAATCCACTGATCGACCTTACCGTAGCGATGACGTTTGTGGTCTCTGAGCTCTATGGCCGGTCTCACAGGGGACGATCTGATTAGCCACCAGCGACAGCTGTTCTTCGGCGCTTCTGTCTGGATCAGCCCCAACTTCATGAAAAGAATTGGCGACTGATAATATTCGATGTAGTGCTATCCTTCCCTTTCTTGACTGTCATCATTTTATGGGCAGCAGCGTTTTTCTCCTGAACCCTCTTAACTAGAAAAAACCACCATCAACTTTATTTTTATTCCTTTAGGCAGTTTTTTCACTGTTGGTCGGATGTGTGTTTAACGTTTCCCTGACAATGCCAGTAAACTGGCATTAAATACGATTATTATGATTATTATTACTAATACCGTCAGAAAATTATAAGATGATCTAGAGGATATCTGGTGCCTCCCATTGAGTCGTGCGTGCATTTAAAATGTTTCCTTCTGACCTCTTTAGAAGAAATCTCGTCATCTTCTTAAGACCCCATCTGGAATATAGAATCCCAGTAATTACACCATGGATGGGGAAGGATATTCACCTCCTCTCCCCAAGCTTATTGTTTTCAGATCCTGCGAGCATGCCACTACCCAGAAGCGGACGAACACCGTGAAGGCCCTCAAAACATGTGTGGAGTACGCCAAAGCAAAAGAATAGTAACACGTTTGTTGTATACTTTTTGTCTTTTCCGTGAAACAGGGACAGTGAAATCGGAAGCGATCATAAAAAACTTTATATAATGCCACTCGTGTGTTTTTTGAGGAGGCTTGTTAAGCGGGTGCAGCTTCAGGTTGGGCTGCCGCCGGCTGATCTTCCTCTTCTTCATGAAACAACCCCAAGGCTCGCAGGAACTCTCGTTCGCCAGCCAAGTAGACCTCGTACTCAGCCTACAACGAAAAGGCTTAAATTCAGTTAGTTGAGACCAGGATTAAAGCCAACATGCGCAGTTACAGAGCAATATGTTATTTTAAATAAAGTGGGGAAGAGTAACCGGAATGCTAGCAAAATCCGAGGACAAGACCTAGGGGAAACTCAGTCAAAGCTACAGACAGCGAAATTCTGTTAATTTACCTTTAGGACTTAGGATCAGAAAAAGGAACTGCTGTCACTGTGAACACTCGCATTTGCAAATGAAAATGAATTTATTGGAAAGTCCTACTGCACCTGCCTCAGTAAAGCAGTTGGGAACTTCTATCATACCGCTGCAAATAGGAGTTGGCGGATTTTGGAGAACGGATACACCGAGAAATTGCTATGCTACATCCAATTCCCTTTAAAGAACTTATTACTGCTAGGTCGGTCCAAGAGGTCCATGTGGTTCACTTTTAAATTGCCCCGTACACATCAACTGATTGAGAGCGATAGGACCAGATTCAGTCTACTGGAAATGAGGTCACCTTTAACGATACGTGGAAGTTCACGAATCAAAGACAGCAATGGCGCTCAATGCCTACCCTCCACTTTTTCAGGATCTCTTCATCTGTAAGCTTCCCGACGGTAGCGATGCCCGCCATTCGCTTGTTTTCATTTTCTTTTTCAATACGTTCTTGTTCTCGCTTGTTCCACCTAGCCAAAACAAAGTCCCTCCTTCGGACCTCCCTATCGATGTAGGTATTCATGGCATCCAGTTCCGTAGCTCCGCAAACTTTCATCCTGTGCGGAACCTGGGCAGAAAAAGGATGTGGTAGCAATAGCAGATTGGAAGTCTGTCAAAACAACAGAAAAGCCCTCGAAAAGCTAGCATGTATAAGAAGGTAGCATACGTGTATCGTGCCCACCGACTTGTTCAAGATGACCAAATTTGCCAAGAAGCGCATTAAACATTTTCCAAAAGTGGTCATGACAAATCATCCTGTGTACACTGTTCGAAACCGCAAATGGTAACCATTTATTAGTGGCTTCAGCGCCCGTCGAAAGACGAACGACCCTGACTCTTCTTGGGGCTGGCCGCCCAAAACATTTCGTGAGATGCAGAAGCCTACAATCGTATTTGTATTTACTTAGTTTTGAATCTCAACTTTCACAGGCCATTGCTTGGGGAGGCGCGTAGGTCACTTAACCAGGACTCTGAGGCACGAGCGTTTGTCGGCACCGGGCACCTGCCCAGAGTTCCCTACGGTTCTGAATGCGTATGATCCAGCCTCCAGTGATGAGAGGAACTTCATATAAAATGAGCCAGCCCGTACCCGTGGCAAAAGTATGCGAGGTCATCTCACTTATGTCATGAAAGTTGGTGGGAGAGAAGAATTAACGACGAGCACACGGCCTACCGGAATAACTGCTTTTGTTATGCTCACATTAATCAACCAGTCGCCGTCCATCTCCGGACATAGAATACCTGACATTTGAGCCCGGAGCGACTTGGTTAGCACTCTGTTAGGTGATATATGGGCTCAGACTCACTTGACTGCTATTGGAGTCATCCAAAGTCACGTTAAAATGATCATCTCCTATTTAGCTTAACTGTAAAAAGAAATATGGGCATTTTTTGTCTAGAGTCCTTGCTCTGGAGGCCTCGCACGTGGACGCACAGTAAAAACCAATCCGTAATTGAGAAAATCAGAGGCTACTGAAAAATTCCTGTCTGGCTCATTTATCGTGATCGGTCAACCAAACACCCAGGCCGGTGAGGTCTGGGAGTTGAACGCTCCTTACCGCACATACTGAGGTTGGAAGGGTTGATGACGGTTGCCCTCACTTTATCACCTGTAGTAGTTGATAGACTTCACATTACAATATGGCAGTGATTTAATGTCTGAAAACAAGCCAAAATATGCATTATATTTGCTGTCTTTATCACCTTTACTGTAAAGATCCGAAACACATAAGAATGCGAAAGAAATCCACACTTTTATACTTCATCTTACAAGTATATTAAACTTTCGGACGACCGGAAAAGTAATTAAGTGGTTTCTGACTAAAAGAGGTAGTCTCTGTGAAGTCAGCCGGATGTAATTTTTAAGGTATGAAAGACGAAAAAGTACTACCGGTCATCAGGGATTTTGCCCCACACGTTTTCATCTGACCTTGAATCACATGCCTTTTTTGGTGCATGACTGCTCGTCAGCATCTTATGAGATTGTCTCAGCTTTTACCATACTGGAATGGTTGAAATGAACACGCCGCTAACAAGAGTAAACGTCCTAGATCGTTTCATACGTTTACCAGATAAACCTATCATATGTTTAAGTCGTGAAAAAACGAGGCTCGGGATGACTTTAGATGGTTAGCCTTGATTTCAGGCCGGGATACAGCCACGCTGTGTATCCTTCGAACTCAGTTCTAGCGCCCTCGCGGGACATTAGGCCGCGACCCATCGACCCTCGTAGGCCATTCCAGTTAGCATCCGTGATTGTTAATTGAGCCAGAACAAACTGTAACAGTGCTTTCTGTCCCGCAATAACGATAGATCAGTGGTCACCACTCCTGCGTGATTTTCACCTTCCCGGGCGTGAGTTCGTGCTTCAGTGGACTAGCATTGACTCAGGGACAGACTCAGGTCAGGTTCAAGACTTTGACCTGATCAGCCTCGGGTTGAGGTTTGGCCAGTTGACTATAACAACTAAACCAAAAGCATTTATCCTGGTCTCGTTTGTCACTGTCGGTAACTCCTCTCAATATACAGAAAGCAGCAGTCAGATTCTGAAGTTTTATTAGAGTGGTTTAGCACACTCTAACTGGTAATTGTATAAACATTTTACCTCTTATAATTTATATTATTCAGCCTTCGTTGGCGTCTTGAAAATAGTAGGAAAGGAAAGACTGATTACGATATTATTCGACCAGAAGTTTGAATGTCATCTTAAGTAAAAAAGAAGGCGACGTAAGTGAACGTCCTGGTCGTGTGAGCTGCTGAGATCTGTGACAGAGAAAGGCCAGTTGATCAAGATCGAAAGGATTCGTGCCTGTGGTACCCTTGCAACTTTACAAGACAGAAGGGGCATGCTTCAATGCTCACAAGTGAGAATTTTGGCCTTTATTTAAACACTTACACGTAAAAGTAGGGTTGGCTTTGCATGTGGGATTCGTTAATAGTCAACATTATATCAGTTGCTGTCATAAAATACGATCACACGACTAAAATTCAGCAAAACATAAAGCCGACTTTGGGACATAGGAGACGGCAGGATCTATACGTGCTCTAATGACTTTGTTTCATGTTAAAAAGAAAAATAAAGGTTTACAATAGAAGTAGGTTAATGGAAAAACAAAGAGTCATGGGAATGAGTACTTCTGGTTTATCTGCCAGTAACAGCCAACGATACTTAACCCTAGTTGCTGGCACGCGAGATGCATGAATCTGAGTTCAGCATGTAGTCAAGCATCGCCGTAACCATTTCTGGCTATCGAGTACTGGTCACGGATCGACAGCCTGTATGAACCCTAACCACAGAACTGCAATGCGAAACGCAGTCGCCCGTATTTTGTCCCACAATCAGGGCAAATGAGTGGACACCACTCCTATGTTTCAAGGTTTGCCGTCTTGGAACTTACAATCAGAACGCGGAGAGCTCCGTGCATATCACCGACGGCCATGAGTTGTTTTTTGCCTTCAACTTTGATGGAGATTGAAGTTAGGGCGGAAGCCGAGACATTCTGCATCAGAGCCGGTTCATGGGTCTTATCCAAAAGGTCCCAGCTCTCCAGAGTCCCATCAGCGCGAATAACGAAGAAGACGGAAGGTCGAGTGGGTGACCAACAACCACCTTTAGAGTAGTGTAAAAGTGCTATTATGCTGGAGCGAAACCAATGGTAAAGCCCTCGGCCAGGCCTCCGGGCTATTTATGAAAATGACGGGTAGATACGCGCACATTCATGACTAAAGCCAATTGAAAATTTCAAATATGGCGGTGAAAACAGACGTTCTTGACGCATTCCGTTATGTAGACTGCAGATAAGGAAATATACGGATAGCGTAAAGGTTGCATTAGGAGGGGACACTAAGGGCATACTCGATGTTTTACTACTATGTGGCCACCCTTTGAGCTAAAGAAATCTACCGAGTCTGAAAAATCCAAATCCAAAATCACCCTCGGATTAAGTAAGACTGCGTTTTTCCGACAACCCTAAGGGATGCATTGCCCAAGGGATTGTTGCGCTTTGAATCAGGAGTTTCCACATCCGCACCCTGGTTATGAACTCTTCCTGTGCTCGCAAGTTTTCAATTCTTATTGTTAATGAACCGTTGCATGGTTATTCCGTCGGGGTCCTTTAAAGTAAGTGAGAATGCTAGTATCCATGTTCTTATCACAAGACGTCACAAAAGACAGCCAAATAGATGATAGCCAAGGTACGCAGTTGCAACTCGTGCCCAAATATGTTGATAACAGCAGGTGTAACTGTTCTAGTAGTAGTGGCTCTGACAAGGATGATTACTGTGAGTTTGTCGACTATTACGAGCAGCAATCAATGGCAGTTCGATGCTCGAAAAGTTCCGAAGCTTAAAGGAAGGAAACTTATTATAAGAAATTTCAGAGTTCATGCCTATGGAACCGATCATGTATTTAGAGCCTAAAATCTAGGTTCATTTTCATGAACTTAGCTGGTAGCAATCAACAGCTCCATGCCCTCGTTCGCCATTTCAAACGCGTAAGTACCTGTATAAGCTTTACTGCAAGCACAGGAAGATATAAGGGGACCCGTATTTACACCCTCCTTCCAAAGAGACCAAGTCCACCCGCCAACACAGAGCAGAACTTCCGGAAGAAATGGTGACCTGTTCAGGTATGAGATGGGGCCGTCGTGTTGGGTTGCAAAGAACACGGGCATGGTAGTCTGCATCTTGGCCGTCTGTGTGTCCTTCTGAGGCATCCAATCGACGTACACGATATCACCGTCCTCCGTACCCACATAAAGGTGCGAGTTGATTCCTTCGAGCGGCGGTAGTTTTGCCAGTCCAATTTTAGTGGGATCCTTCTCGGCAGCCATTTTCTTCTTTACATTGGCACGTGATTCCAAAATGGACCTGTCGCCTTGTCGCTCCTAGAAGATGAGGAAAGTTTTTGGCCTAGAATCCTTGCAAGTATGGTGGTTAAAAAGGCATATGTGTCAGATTTGTCGTGGACTTCTCGCTCATCACAGCTGTAGGCCTCTCTGCAGACATAGCTTTGTATGGTAGTCAGGCCCATCAAGAGAGCACAGAGGAATGCCGATGGACCAGCTGTGCTTCACGTGGTCAGTTTCATGGTTAGGGAAACGAACTGAGATTTCACGCGGCGACCTATGCAAAATCATGCTGTACTCTTACCACGAATAAAATATTAGCTTGCAACATTGTTGTTGGTGTGTTCTCACCAGGCTAATAACACCCATATATTTTACAAGCAAATTTCTATTAAACGTTTTCTAAATGACGTGGAATAAAGTAAACTGTGTCCCTGAGACCCCCGGTTATCAAGACAGACGATGCGAAAATTATGTTGAAAATACAGAGACACTGTGACAACGGCCGTTTTGGGTCTGTTCAGTGCCTTCACTAGTCAACCATGCTTCTGGCCAGCGCCTGCTACCGAGCATAAACATGGTGAACGCGATCGACAGGTGAAGTCAGACCAACAGGTCAACAATATCACTAAACCAAGATTTTGCTAATGTACCACCATCAATCTGTACTTTTCGAACTGATCGGGCATTTATTCACAATGGAACGGTCGCATGCCAATTTGACCGAGGCTTCGGGGTAAATCTACTCCATTCGATGGGGGTAAGGGTCGTGAACAGGCGGCAACCTATCAGGCAAGAATCGGGGGATTCACTCAGGAATGGGCGCACACCGATCAATTGGCTTCCCGAAGCAGACAAACTTCGTATGGGTGGTAGGGGTCACGAACCGGCAACCACCTACCAGACCGAATTCATCAAGCTATGATAACAAAGGGGAGACGACAGTGCCGTATCAATCTACCCCCAGACTTTGTCGTCTCCCCTTAGCTTGGCCGACTTCGGCCTGGTAGTTGATTGCCTGTTTGTTCATGACCCCTATCATCCGTATGAAGCTTGTTTGTTTCGGGAAGCCAATGGATGGGGGTGCGCCCATTCCTGGGGTAATTAGTACCCGATCTGTAGCGACAGAAAATGGCAGGTGGCGAGGCACTGATTAAATTCGGTTCAATAAAGTGCTTATGACCCACTGGGTAGACCCAGATGGTGGGCCAGTTGCGCCAGATGCATCAGTGCGCATGTTTGTGTTTCCGGCTCCAGCTGGTAGTCAGGGTTATGATTGGTCGAATGAAGCCAAACAAGCCCAAAACAGTGCTGTATCAACCTACCCTCCAGACTCTGACGTCTGCCCTCTGTAATCGGGGAATTATTTGCCATAATTGGCCACTACCAGACCACAATCAATAGAACAGCCTGCACAGGGGGAGTAAGTCATAGTCTCAGAAATCGGAACACAAAAGTGAGGTCGAAGGGCGTGTAAAAGCCCCTGCGTGGGAACTTTACAAGTTTGGCGACCCCCAGCTCATGGATAAACTCACTTTGATGTTTCAGGAGATGTGAAGACAAGGTCAAAACCCTCAGTATTTACCTAACGTCAACAGTGTCCATTTATACAAACAAAAGGGAAATCGGCAACTTTGTGACAGCCGCAGGGGAGTCTACCTCAACCGCCTAAACCTTCAACTGGAGCAAGGACTTCTTCCTGAAGATCAAAGTGTATTTCGAAAGAACCGCGGAATCATACACACCACCCTCGCTGCCTGTCGGCTACAAGAAGAATGTCGAAAAATTAAGACCCGGCCTTACACCGTCTTCGCAGGAGGTAGCAAGACAGGATTCTCGACAAGGATGTCCTGAAAAGAACCGGCATCCTCAGTATACACATTATTATGGGACAGATGCAACTGCGCTGAAGAACCAACATCGTGATGCGCGCCTGTTCAAGCGATTATTCTATAGAGGCCTCGACGCCGGTACTCAAAGAGAATTCAGGCAAAGGGGTTGTTACGAGGACACCATAAAGATTTTCCCAAACACCTGCAACTCAATTTAGTGACCTGAGACAACCTTGCCCGGAGTGCCCAGGCGTGCTTCATTGCCGTGACAAATGAAGCCACGATCTACGAAACTGTTTGCATGGAAGCAGGCAAGTCTCAGGTATCACGGATCAATGCAGCAAACGCGCAACATGTACCAACATGTCCGCATTGCAAAGTGACGTTCTGAGCATGTATGAGACTGGTAAGGCATCGTCGGTTCCACCGCTATGACAATCCGTCCAACGGATCACGACGGCACAGAGCGTCGTCATCCCCGGCAAGGTTGCAGAAGTAAACCCATACATTTACTATTTCATCCTCCCCACCACCACCAACATCAACACCGCCAGCAGCGTGGATTCGGTCTCTATATGACAGTATTGCGACCGCACCTTCATACTACCACACCGATCTGGTCATTCACTTACAAATCCATCACATTACAAAAAGCGAACTAGTGACGAGAGCCCCACTTTCACTGTCCTTTGGTATTCGATTGTCGTACGAGCCCATTTGACCAAATGTGTATTCACACAAACGTTTGGTAAAATAACAAGATTCAGATCCCATCACAACACCTCCTTCTACTTGCACACACACATCCCCGTTACGCTCGAACGGGTCCCACAACATGTGCTCACCCAACAACTTTCCGCAACACATTTAACATTACTCCTGTAGCAAGCATATGATCTATCGCCGGTACGGCGGAATAAAAGTGGCATTTCAGAACAATTACGGCTCATGCGTGAACGGGTCGTTCAGCCCGTGTCCGCTCTCATCATCCGTTGCATGACAGGCTCGGGCAGTCGACTGGCACATGGGAGAGGAAAGGGAGAATGAGGCCGACGTCAGGTAATCAATCCCCAGGGCAAGCTTGAATTTATCATGACGCGTCAGTAGTGGTGACATGGAACGCCGCCAGTTTTCAGGAAACTCGGCCTTTCTTAGGACTGAGAATCCAGTTGTAGTGGTTCCGTCTTAATGTGGCCTTTGTAACACCCTCACCTACACGAGCTCGGAACCGCCCATCTTGTAGCCCGGCACATGCAGTGGAAACCGCATGCGAACATTTTGGCTTTTTTAACCACTACGCCCGTGCCCACCTCTGGTTGTCTTTACGTTGTCCTGCCACCGGACGCGGTGGGTGAGGGAGGAGAAAGTGCGGTAGATCCTACGCAGGTCTGCCTCACTATAAACTAATTCACGCACACCGAACCCCTGTGCCCACCTCGTGAGGTGGCGGTGGACGTCGTAGCTTTCGGCAGTCCAGTTGTCGTTCCTGGTCATGCGTGCATGTCTGCTGGTTGTCTGGGCAGTGCAGGGTGCCATGATCGTGGACACACGCTTCGGCGCTGTGCTCTCTGTAGCTTCAAAGATGCGTTTGAGTGGCCATTCCAGGGTAAGTACTGGCGGTTCCCACCAAGCGCATCCATGATGACCTGACTGCCGCAGGATGAATTCCGAATCTGACCCTCGCACACCCCACATGCTGGTATGCACATAAACTTAGTACGGTAGAGAGTATCTCAAAAGAGTTGCTGTTACAGTCTATCCTGTTTCTATCGTTTTTCCCCATGATTTTTAGCTTTGGAATCCGGTTGACGATTCCCATGCCATTATGTCTGCCCCGGCCGCCGTAGCTTTCTGACTCCAAAAAGTCAAGCAGATTGATATTCATAAGTCTACCTTAGATAAATGTCCGTGCGGCCTGCATGAAACATCCTGGCAAAGGGGCACTGATTTAGCTTCAGGCCGAGGCTGCTGTGAACCTATTGGTTGGGCCTCATCCGTTAGTTGTCTGTGCCGTACCCATGCGCACAGGCATGGAAGAATGCTAACGAATGCGAAACGGCTGCTGACCCAGTCTCCTACGTCATCAGCAGTCAACCTCTGATATTAATAGTTCAGTATTTTGACTTACCCGCATGCAGAAGCGTCTGGCACAGTGCTCTGGTCCGTTCTCAGGACGAAACAGACTAACGCGCAAGATGGGCTTCCACTTGGCGTCAAGTGCGGCAAAAGTGAGAGGCACATCCTTCGGTACCGTGAGTTGGTCACGGGTCTTGTCAATGGCCAGCGGCGACTTTTCTGGCCGGATGTCCCAAAAGAAGACGCCTCCTTCAATGGCACACGTCATGAGTTGAATACACTTGCGTTTGGGGTTCTCCGTAACGAAGCCGGCTCGAGTTAATTCAATGTGATCTGGTACCCACTCCAGTTGGGTGATGGGAGTGCCATGGGAAGCATCAAAATTGCTGCTGGCACACCACGGCGAGATCGGCACCTTGGTAGAGGGATAAGAACGATTATCTTAAGTGCATTTCCGTATTCCAGAAATTGCCTTTTTCACCGCTAATGATGTCGGGATATTTCAGTAGCATGATATTTCGGTTGCATTACATGAACAAAACTACTACCTTTTTTCACAAGCAGCCACTGAAGAAATAGTCGAAGATAGTGAAGGCTTCGCAAACACCCATTCTCCCTGTTGCTTTACGAAAAATGGCGACAAACAGGGTAAGTACGGCCATTAGAATCTCAGATATGTATCTGCTTTTGTCTCTGATGATGGGTTCGGGCAGAGATCCGAAACGTCAGGCGAATAAAGCTCGTGTCCCAGCGATCGTGTCTTCTTCTTCACAAGAAGCTTTATTGCGTAAATTTTCGACGCTTGTTCCCAGGTTGACGTCAGACGCAGTTGGAAAGCAAATGTGGAAACACGAAAACAGTTAACGTCACTAGTGCACACAAAATAGTTACGTGCCTGGAATTCGCACCGGTAGGCGACCGCCGTGTGTGGCAGTCTGTTCTGATTAGTTCTTTTCTGTTCTATTTCCCCTGAGGTTTCTGTAACGGCATCCAAATCGATAGGCGGATGACATATACCTCATCCGAGTGCATGACCTCGAGGAACTCTCAGCGTTTCTTGAGAGGGGAGACAGCGACAATGCGAACTTTGTCCCACTCTCTGCAGTTGGCTGGTTGATGACGCCTAATCAGTCAGAAATGGCCATTCGAATCTCCCTTGCCTTTGTCAGTCATGTTATTCTGCCTATATTACGCGCTGCTGTGCGGCTGCTGGCGGGGCTCGAGAATGATCCCCAAGGCACAAGGAGACGCGTGTGTGTCCCTTAACGCGATCGAAAAACGTTCCTCTACCATTACATAGGCATTTTCGACTGTCATGAGCGACGATGTCCACCGTATGCTCCACGGCAGTGTAGGAGTTCGGCATGATGACTTGCGCGTGATTTTTTATTTTATTGATAATAGACTTGCACAAGAGCTACCGCACTCTCTCCTCCCTCATCTGGGTCCGGTGTCAAGACATAGTCAGGTAGACCACAGGTGGGAGAGGGCATAGGTGGTTGGCGCGGCCGAAGCCGCCCTTAGGCGCGCCGCAACACCTAGCTCAGATCCCACTAGATGGGAGTGCCGTAAAGGCTACATTAAAAAGGAGCTATTATAGCCTGACCCTCAGTCCACCAGTCGGCTATTCAATCCACAATATATCCTGGGCAGACTGGTAACTTTCTAAGCCACTGCTTTTAGCGCATCGTGATAGCTCTAAGTGCGTCAGATTGTTAATAATGAGGAAGATGCGCTGAGTCGTCGACCTCACTGTCTGCTCCCATTCTCAGGCCCCAGACACTGTCCGAACCGGTCAGTTGTCTGGTGCGGGGAATAGGTACAGTGACTGGTAATAGCCATTAACCTCGCCTGCGCGTGCCACGCACACGACCTGGTCCCCAAAACGCACCGGAGTTTCGCACAAAGAAGCGGATAGCTCGGGTCTCCCATGTAGCAGAGGGGCCACATTTAGGAGTCGAAGGACACGTTTCTCACCTACGTAAGAGGTACCTAGTTCGAGCATGCAGTGTATTTTCAAACGTGTTCATTTGTGGTGCACGTGGCGATGGGGAAATGTTTGGTGGTGTAGTTTAATCTGTGGTGATTAACCGAAGATTTTCATGGTGGTGCATTTGACCAAGTAAGCCCATGTGATAGTTGAATGCTCGAGGGCAATGCGAACAGTTGAGGTGACAACGACGTATGAAGTCTCGCAGGATTTCAAGGACGCCACAATCTTCCATCTCTATAAGCGGAGAAGAAACCGCCAGCTCTGCGACGACTACCGATACATTTCCTTGCTGAACATCGCGGGGAAAATTTTCGCTTGCATCCTTCTCAACCGCCTGAACAACCACCTGGAACAAGGTCTACTGCCGGAAAGTAAGTGCGGCTTCCGCCGTCATCGTGCGACCACCGACATGATCTTCGCCGCCCGCCAACTGCAGAAATGTCAGGAGATTCGGACCCACCTGTACTCTACCTTCGTGGATCTGACGAAAGCCTTCGACACGATGATTCGTGACGGACTTCGGAAAATTATGCAGAAATTCGGCTGTCCTGAACGATTCGCTCAGATGGTGCTTCAGCTCCACGATGTCAGGCTGGCGCGTGTCACGGACCATGGAACTGGTTCAGAGGCATTCCCAGTGACCAACAGAGTGAAGCAGGACTGCGCTCTCGTGCTTTCCCTCTTCCGTCTCATGTTCTCCACCACGCTGATGGACGCCTACCGTGACGAACGCCCCGGGACCCGCACCGCCTACAGGACGGATGGCCGCCTCCTCAATCAGCAGCGGTTGCACTTCCATTCGCGTGTATCCACAACCACCGTCCACAAACGTCTCTTCGCAGACGACTGCGCCCTCAGCACCACCTTGGAGTGGGACATGCAAAGGAGCATGGATCTCTTCTCTGCCGCCTGTGAGAACTTCGGCCTGATCATCACCACGGAGAAGACGGTGGTCATGCACCAACCGCTACCCAACACAGCCCCTCTCAATAATGCGCCGCAAACCAGCGTGAACGGAACCCAAACGCAAGTGGTGGGCAACTTCCCGTACCTGGGTAGTACCCTCTCCCGAAGCACGAAAATCGATAACGAAGTCGCCCGCAGGATTTCGAACAGTCAAGCCTTCAAAGCACAGTCTGGAATCGTCATGGTCTCCAGCTCAGCACGAAGCTGAAGATGTACAAGGCCGTCATGCAAGGAGGCCAAATTCGTCGATACAAGGATACTCTGAAATCCTCCCTGAAACGTCTGCAAATGAATCCGACCCACTGAGAAGACTTCGCCCGAGACCGACTGACATGGAGGAGAACAGTGAAGGCAGGCGCTGCGATCTGCGAAGCCAACCGCATTGACGCCGCGAAAGCCAAACTCAAAGCACGGAAGTCTCAGCTGCGCCCACCCCACAACGCCAACACACAACCGCCTCCAACGTGTCCACGGTGTCAACGGACATTCCGGGCGCAATTGGACTGGTTGGACACCTTCGGATCAACCGAACCACTTGGACCGCACCAACCGTCGTCCCTCCGCCCAAATCCTCCTCGTCCTCCACGCCGCCAACTAACTCTGACCGCCCTCCTGAACCACCACTCCCATCCTCCTCCTCCTCCCCCCCCCCTCCAAATCTGCTCCAACGCGTGCTGCTGTGGCGCCTGCCACGCGCATCAACACTGCACACAATCCTGACACATTCTCTAACATCAACACCACCACCGTCTACACAAGAGGTGAGGACCAGAATTACACCTGCCCTCACTGAGACCGCACCTTTACCTCACACATCGGCCTGATCGGTCACTTGCGAATCCATCGCACAGAGACTGACGAACCAGTGCCTGGAGCACCAACCTACACCCGCCGTCCCTGCCTCCACAGCCGTCTCACTTTCACGCATCGCATAGGCCTATTCGGCCACATGCACATCCACGAGAGCGGAATTAACCGTAATCCCGACATACCCACCACATCCGACACAACTATTACACCCAACCCCACCCTCACTTTGTCGCCCTGTGCGCCCACCACCACTATCGCCACCACCTCCGTAACTGACACCGACACCACCGGCTTCTCATGCCCACACTGTCCGCGCACATTTACCTCACGCATCGGTCTGGTCGTTCACTTGCAAATCCATCGCACAGAAATTGGCGAACCAATGCCTGAAGCACCTAAATACACTCGCCGCATCCGCCTCCATTGTTCACATTGCACTCGCACATTCATGCCCCGCATGGGCCCATTCGGCCACATGCGCGTCCTCGAAAACCTGCGGTAGACAACCGCCGGCTGCACCACATCATCACATTCTCCCTCACCGGCATCTCATCGCACGTCAGCAACATCGAACACAAGCATCCAAATGCCACCTCTCGCGCAAGTGGGAAGTGTGCATCTTGACTTCGTCCCCGTGCAGCTCCTTTGCTGCACGTGTGACTCGAGTCCGAGACTATTAGAGCGCGTCGAGCGTCGTGGTTTGGAAGATTGCTGACTGGTGTCCCAACCCAGTCCACGCAGTCCGTTGAGTTGTGGGTTCTGCGTGGAGTGGCGGCCTGGTAGGCTGAAAGCCAGGCTAAAGCGGCTCCTTCCAAACGTGACCTAGTGCACTCTCACGCATGTGAGATGTACACTGTTCAACCCCCGTTGTGTGAAATCCAGTTGCTTGTGTTTGGGGGGCCGGGTCGTGTATGTGGCGCTCACAGACAAGGTCACTAGATGTTAGCCACCGCGCCCGTCCCCCGCGCCTGTCAACTAACCGGCACGGACAGTGGCCGAGGCACGGGAATGGGAAGGGAGAGCGAGGTCGACGACTCAGCACATTTGCCTTACTATAAGCAAACTGACGAGCTTGAAGCTATCGCAGTGCACTAAAAGCCATGGCTTTGGAGGTTGCCAACTGACGGGATAATTTGGACCTCGCAGTCGGGCCAGTGTTGTGTGTTTGTGTAGAGCAGCCGACTGGTGGTCTAAGAGTCAGGCTGCAATGGCTCCTTTTTAATGTGACCTTTATGGCACCCCCACTCCGTAGGATCCGAGCCGGGTGTGGCGGCACGCCTATGTGCGGTTCCGGCCGTGCCAGCCACCCTTTTGTTGTCGGTTAAAATCCTGGTCAAGTGTGTGTTGTGGACCAGGAAGTGCGGCGGCACGTCGAGGTGCGGGCCCGGCCGTGCCAACCACCTGCGGCCTTCCCCGCCTCTGATCTTCTTGATTGTGTCTTGACGCGGGTTCTAGGTGGGGAATGGGTAGAGGGAGTGCGGTAGATGCAGCGCAAGTCTACTATCACTTTCAACTGCTTCACGCGCAAGTCACCGTGTCTGCTTCACCTCTCATTGGAGCACACGGTGGACATCGTCGACAACGACGGTCAAACTGTCGGTTCGCCAGTCTTTTACCGTGGATTCCCAAGTGACTGATTAGGCCGATGTGCGATTTGCTGAACACACAGGGTGGAGAACAAAATCATAGTATTGAGAACTTTAATTACGAACAGGTGCCAACAGAGGTTCCGTGGGCAAATACATGTGGGGTCGCGACTAGTCCGGCCGCAAAGCCAGTGACAGGAAAAATTGTTCAGGAAGATTAAAATCAGTTAAGCAAATGCGAGTGGAATGGGCGAACTGCAAAGTTTGAAAATGAATAAGTGTCGCTTTCAACCACGCCAGATATGTGCTCATCAATACTTCATTTTTCTTTGAATACCAACTAGCGTCACAGAGTGGACCCGGAAGGAGCGAAGCGACGTTCGGTCCTGATTGAGTGTGTTGATTAGTGATTCCTCCCGTCAAATTCCCACACGATGCTATCTATACCAGGGGTCCGTTATGCTAACTATGCCCATATTTTGAACTTGACCGTTGAGATTCCCCGTTGCTGACGATGCCGACAAATTACCTGCCGGGGCTAATTAGACTGAATTAAATCTCCTATTACAAAACCACTACGTACATTCGTGTGAATGACGAGCAGCAATTCCTTCAATGCTCGTTACGAATTCTGTCAGTGCTGCGTTACCTAGCAATTCTGTCAATTTGCACAACAGGCTGGGTTCATCAGCATGCACTCGCTGACCACCTACTTGTTACATCAGGTCATGGTCCGAACTTCGTGAATCTTGACTACGCTGTCGACGTTCTGCTGCAGATGAGCTACTTTGCAGAGGCGCGGTGTGCTGTGTATCAGGTAGGTAGATGGGTTACCGGAGTTACCCTGAAAATAAATTCCTTCAAAGCCAAGTTGATTGTCTCAGGCTTCACGGTTATATATATCTGCGCGACAAAGGGGGAAGCGATGAAACCATTAAGCTTGTTGGCAACCTCCGATATTTTTGTCAAACCTTCCTCCAAACGGGCTAAGGAAGTGTGAGGAGGACAATTGGACCAACCAGGTGCGGATGGCCGTCGTCTGATTCCACTACAACTTCTGAAATCGGTCGAAAGACCAAGCTATCGGCGTATCAAACTTCTGTCAAGACAATCCCTCTACTTAGATGTGAGACATAACCCGTGAGCTCCGAAGGTGTAGCTTGCCCAAAGGATTCTCATAGCTACGAATCCTCACCGTAGGATGCATCAGGATGTCCCCACTACCCACTCACATTTAGTCACCGCATGAGCCGCCATGGAAGTCCTCGGTAAGCCACCCCAAACTAAACCACATCACCACACATCTTCCCACCAGGACCAAACATGAATGCGACCAACATCACACACATTAAGCATGGACTCGGCACCTCTCACGCAAGTGGGGATCGTGTTCCTCGGTTCCTTCTTAGTGAGGTCCGAGCCGACAGCTGACTTACTCCTTTCGTATGTGTGTTGTGTTGGGGCCAGGTCGTGTGTGTGTGGCACGCGCGACTGGGTTGTTCTTAGCTCTGTCAGTCTTTGTAACAAACCCTCTCATTGGATAAGAGACCCGCTCAGGCAGTGGACTGGTATACGAGAGAGAAAAAGGGGTGAGGGGGACTCCATCCGCATGGCATCTCAGTGCACATTCCTCACTATATGCAACCTGACGCTCTTCCAAACCACCGCGATGCACTAAAAGCGGTGGCATGGAAGGCTGTCAACCGACAGGATAACTCGGCCTTCTCAGAACGGGAAGTCAGGCCTTCATGGCTCTCCTTTAATGAGGCCTCTATAGCATCCCCATTCGGTTTGGATCCGAACCGCCCGTCTCTTGTTTGCGCGAGAATCTGGTCATCGCGCGCGTGTGTGACATGCGTAGACCGGCTGTTTAACTTCGTCAGTCACTGCGCCTGATCTCGCGTCCGGTCTTCTTGATTCTGCTTTGACGCTGGGCTCAGGTGGATGAGGGAAGAGAGTGTGGCATGTCTACTATCACTATAAACGATTTCATGCATAAGTGACCGTTTCTGCGCCCGCCATGCTCCATGGCGAACGATTTTCATAATTAGTAACTACGGTTGAACTGCCATATATAGAATTGACCACGGAAAAGACAAGAAAAACCGGGATGCTCATTTCTGGCTAATAAGCCGTCGTCAGTCGCTACGCGACTACCCTCGAGGGCTCTCGATTTAGGTGCGAGGCACAACAACCCGGGTATCCCGAGAGATTTAGTCAGAAAGGAGCCAACTGATTTGAGAAAAGGAAGGTTCAATATGGAATTTTTTGAGACTGTTTCTCCAGCTATTTGTCAGGCTCAAGGAAAATGTGCAAAAACAGCTCATTTTATAAGCATGCTTAACAAATTACTTCATAGTTTGCCGAATTTTAAGCCAACTGTGATTGATTGCGTATATATCTATGTATCTTTATATATCTGTCTTTGAGAATTTCGGATGAGATATCCAAAATTAGTATTGAACGTTTAGGTTTGAGGCAGGCAAGAGGTATTAGGCTGAAATAATTTACTTGGCATTAGATTTCTGACTCTTACAGGCTGACCTGTATTAGATGGATAAATTTAAACTGCGTATTTTCATCATTCTAACTGCCGCTGTGCATCATGTGAATTTTGGGAAAATTCGTACCCAACTGTGCGCAGACGATGTTTCCTGGAGTGAGAAAGGCTGTTTGAACTCCCACATAACGTTGAAAACATGAACTTTCGGCACGTTCCACTCCAGGCTCATGTGAATGAAGGTGTATTTCCTGAGAAAGCGTAAACTCCAAATATAAAAATACTTGACCAGCCGGGATTTTATAATCGCCAAATTCTGAACTAAGGTTAAAAGCCATTCAAGGCAAAATAATCAGACGTGAGATATATCGAAGTATTTACCTTCAGTGCGTCATTTTCATCAAATTGGAAGAGTGGAACTTTGGTCTTGCTCTTAACCTTTTCGATGACATTACTCAGATCCTTCTCATATCTTGAGATGTCCCACAAAATTACTTCCCCGTTGAAGCAACCACCAGCGATGATATTTGGATCCGTTGGTGAGAACTGGAAGCAGAGTATATCTTCGGGGGCTTCCAACAGGAGCTGTGGTTGTATGGGCTCAAAGAAACTCCAAATTATTATGAAGGAAGGTGTCGTCAGAATCCGTGACCACTGCTCAATGCGGGAGTCATAAGTTAACTTTTCTCCCACCGACATTGCGACGAGACCTTCAATCGTTGGGTGCCATTCAATATGGGTAACTGCCTTGTCCTTGCTGAACTTTAAGTCTGTGAAGGAGATAACCTCTTTGAAGGTGTTTCCCGACTTGTTGTCATAGGTATCGTCTCCCAGAGCCAAATTAATATAGTCGTCGAAGAGAAAATCGTACATGAGATTCTGCTTTAATCCCTGTTCAAATATTGGAAGCAGGTTTCCGATACCCTTAAGTGGCGTCTGAACTCCAGTATACGTCTGTAGGTCTTCTGGACCCATAGATCTCGCCTCATACTGGACTACCTGATTGCGCGGATAGCGCCATTCTGTGTTAGTGTAATGCTCAGAGGAGAGATTCGTGCAGCAGACTCCCTTCTCCAGTTCAAGAATGGGTACCTCAAAGCTCTTGTCTTCGTAGGGCTTGACTTCATTATACATTTTCCTTGCATCCAGATTTACTAACGCAGATGGGGCACAGAACTCGCGTCTCGGGCGCTCATAGTTGGTCACTACGCGTGGTCTCGTCTCAAAGAAGCTCGCCTGGATAATCTCCCTGTCTGAGCCCTGACTCACCCAAGGTTTGTCCGCTCGGGCGTCTATGTAGGCAACAGAGTCGTTTGCCTCCTCCATCACATCCTCCTTTTCGGTCTTAGTGGGAACTACCTCTAGTTTTTCGATACGAAACTGATTGTCCAATTCTTGCGACAGAATAAGCAGGAAGTTACCGCCGAACTTTTGGCTCGGATCTGCGATAAACGTTAGACAGGTGCCGGGATAGTCGTTGACTTTTTCTCTCAGGACATCCAGGTTTTGATCCGTCAACTCGCTGTCCAGCACGCCAAGAAGTTCAGTTTTGTCACGAGAAAGGCCGCAGTAGGTCGGTGGTTTAGGCGGAGCATCGGGATCTGCATCTCCAGGGGCTTCTTCTTTCCTCAGACTTGACAGCGCCTGAGTGCCAAATATGGCTGTCTGCTGCTCCTCAGTCAATGTGAAGGCCATAGCCTCATCGTCAGGTAGGCTCTCTTGAAGCATGTAATTAGCAATAACTTCTTCATGATAAATAGACGGGATGGGCTCTTCTGGAATCTCAGGCCTGATGGTCGCGGATGAAACTTCGATCTTAGAGGGTGACTAAGATGTCTTTGAAATTATTTAACATAAATGCACTTGCCTGTTTTCCAGCAACCTTGCTGAACTTCCGGTTTCTTCCCTTGGCATCAGCATTGTCGGATTTTGCGGACTTTTTGTCAGCTTTAGCTGACTGATTTGTATTATCCATAAGTTGAGCGTTCTGAAACAAACTGCTGACAGACCAAATAGTTTAGCTAAGGCTTTGGTCAAAAAACCGCGTGTAAATGCAATTAACGAACAGATATGACTCATAAGATATTCACTCAATGCTACTTGTGATCAAATGAAACTTGGTGTATTTGCATAGCGCAATTAAAAAGGTGGATGATTTTGGCATTGCAAGTATGGATACTAAAAAAGGACCATAATTAGCCAGGGAATTCTGCGGATTCTAAAATGCCGGTCGTATATAAACTTTTATCTTGTGTAACGAGGGAACAGTATGGGGTTCGAGCAATGCAAACGTTCAACGGGCAATGCAACATTTCCTTCGGCTTTCGAGTATATATGAACCGAACGCAGTTCGCTGAATCGCTATGGCTTGTCATTACAAAATTGGCCATTCCGATTATTTTAAATAATCCTCCAGTATCATAAGATGCCTGAGACGTCTTCATAATTTGACGCACAGATCAATTTAGATCAACTGTTCAAGAAGAAGACCGTGTTCAAGGACTCTCTAGAGTTCTTTTATAAATTACAATAGCCTCACAGCCAGGTGTATTTGTTTCAAGGGAGCGGATTAAAACGGGAATTCACCTATCGGTGGTGGGTTGGTATGTCCCTGTCTTTGCTTTCAGAGCAGAAAAATAAACATATGCCGGGCATACCATGCTGGCTATTTCCTAGAAGAATATTTTAAACAGATTTAGAGGATGGGCTTCCATTATTATTGGTATTTGAAAGGGCAAGAAGTTATCACGAGACTGGGGTAGGAAATCGGTCGCGCAGCCTTACGGCAATATCTTAAATTGTGTGCAAAGAATACTGTAAACGTCATGAACAGTTCAAAGCAAAATTTCTTAATTTTCGCAAACTTACTCGACTGCCTTGAATTTTTCATCTATAAAGCGCCATACGAGGAAGATTATCATTTAGGCAGTCTGTCTCTATTTACTTGTGACTATTGGAGGCAGAATGTATTATGGCAAGTACTCATATCAAAATCTCAGGGATGACGGCGAATGCCTGAGTTTCAGGTGTACTGGAACGATGTATACATTATTCTGCGCTTTTAAACACAAAAATCAAGGATCTACTTAGTACAAAGAGATAGTCTGGGGCAGTGTACGCATCCCGTACCAAAGACCTCGTTGCAATTGCACAGGTAGGACAAAACGTATACTCTGATCGTGCGTACACAAACAAGGTTAGTCGTGCGGTATAGCGATAAATTATCGCAAATGGCTGCCCACACCTTAGGAACAGGTCATGGATTCAGCCATACAGCCGCTAAGATAATCATCCACGCCCGAAGCAAGACAAGCTGATAATTTACTGAATTCTGGAAGTCGAATGGTAACGCAGTCAATTGACGCATCGGCCTGATGACGGCATGCAGAGCGCTGCGCGCTCACCTCCGGTCCTGCGCCACTTACTGCTAATTGGCGAATAACCCCTACCCCTATAGCATATTATATTGCTACTGTCACCTTTAACAATGGACTCATGCAGGAATTCAAAAGTTTAGAATAATAAACAAATTACTTGGGTGCTTATCTATTCTTCCTCGACAAATCTTAGGCTTTCCGTGCACGTAATATTTACAAATGAGTATTTTATGTAGGTAAAGATGCCTGCGTTTTGGAGAAGAATGATAGAACGGAAATATTTTTAGTAGAGAGCATAAAGGTAAAAAATAACGCCTGTAGGCCATCTCAGCTACCAAAATATTCTCTCTGAAATCTGTGGTCGCGCTTGATATCAATAAATTGATTGTCGTTCTCTTCAAAAATTACGGTTGTAAATATGGTTGGCATTGTCATATCGGTCTACAATAGTCTTGAGGCATAAAGCGGGTTAAACGTAGTAACGCCCGATTCAAGGTATTTGAGTGAGACTAAATAAACTTACGGGGTAGCTATAGCAGCAGGCGAGTCGAAAAAATCAGGACTTGACTGTATCGCTCTCAGATTATCAACATTAATGTTTGGGCTTAACTGTCTAAAGTTCAGCCAGTTGTAAGTGAAAACGCCGAGCTGAGAGGTGAAAAGTTCTGCCCGTTCAGCAATAGGATAAGGGAGCGGCCTTATTCAGAGTGGCACAATGGGAGAACTTATTGTACATTGATGTACAACTGATGCATACATCATGCGTATGGACAAAATGCAGTCCGTGGCCTATCAGTGCTTTTCAGCTTGGAAGACCTAACTTAAAATCAGCTGGCTGGATATAAAATCAAATTTCATGGAACTGAGTATATGCATGTAATCTACAGGTCTTTTAACTTGTGGCCCCTTTCGGAATGGAAATCCAAAATGAGGAACGAAATTTTGTTATCCTCTACTGTCAGTAGGCAGAACCCAAAAGCAAATAACTGGTCAAAATAATTATTAACTTCGGCTGCAGAGAAGGTGCAAAAAGAGAGGACTCTGTGGGGGGGTTTCATTTGTGGATTAAGATTGATTTAATGTATATTACTGAAGAAGCGACTCCTGATCAGGAGTCGCGTCTTCATCGATATACGCGCCACAAGGTAATCGCGTGTTGGTAACGAGAGACAGTAATCAGTTCAAGGTTATCATTGCTGCAGCCGAAGGGCGTTTCATGCACCTAAATTCCATCGACTTTGTCCGGTATAACACAATCCGTTGTATATCTTGGCGTCCAGTTCTAAAAACACGTACATATCCGAAACCCACAGTAAACACCAGAATGTTCTGTAGATATTCAGAAAGGGTTTGGTCGCTGCATCTGGACGAGCGAGGGTCGTTTCCCTTGGAAAGGTCGCAGAACTGTGGAAAGTACGAAGACTGTAGGTGGGCCGGAATGGGCAAAATGCAAGACGGGAAAGTATAACCTAAAAAAATATAAGATAAGTGGTAAAAATCAAATTTCCAAAAGCGAAGAGTTAGAGGAGGATTGGTTGAAATACAAAAAGCTACTGGAAACAGCAGGCCGAAAGACGATTTTCTGACCACTCATAGGCTCCATTTTTTGCCCAAATTATTGATAATACACTGATAATATCAATCGGCAAGTGTTTAAAGGAAAATTATGGCTCGTATCAGGAAGGAGATTGTATATTCTGCGGTGCTTGGACATAATTGAATGATGAATTCGTAAAGAAAGATCGACTTATGAATACGGATTGCGTGCTTCGCTGGGCCTTATTCAATCCCGGAGATGTGTGTACGTTGCCAGGATACCTACAGTTATTTTTCTAGATAATAATCGTTGGCATGTGGAATGGTACTTAATATGCCCAACTTGACTGATTTAGCGTAATGTAACAAGCTTGACGTCGAAATGTATAGGGAAAAATCCTTCAGCTCGAGGAATCGTTAACTGCCCTGTCGTCTGGAAGAACTCTAAGGATAACAAATTAGTGAGATTCCAAGACACTCTCTGCTTTGACGGCTTCTTGAGATATTCCCAAAGGTTTCATTGGAACAAATTCTAATATGCATCTTATATTTCTTTATCTTTTATGGAGGGTATGGTGCTTTACCTGCGAAAGAATAGGAATCTGAAGTCTTTTTAGTCATTCTTCGGTGTGCAGCTTACGAAGGCAACTGGATTATGTCTCTCTGAAAAGTTCGAGACCTAAGTGACATTAGCTACCTAAGGAGAACACAGCTATGAGTATCATTTGCAGTTTAACTGAACAAAAGTACAACAGTAGCACACATCTTGGAAATGATTGTACTGTCGGCCGAAATGTGCATGAGCATGATATGCAAGTTTAGCAACAAGAATTAGACGTCTCCGAACAGGTAATGCAAAAATTAACAGCTCACATGACCAGAAAGTGGTTGCGCAACGAACTATACTTCGTCCTGATTGTACATTAGAACATTTGCAGTCTCAACTGCACATTTATAGGGTCGTCAATGGCATTCTCTGCAAAATCCACATACATGGATTTTGACAGTGGGATAGTTATTAGAATCGAAATAGGTTAATTATTATAGCACCTTTGGGGTTCTGTCAGTCATCTTTGAACATAGGAAAATGCCTTAATTGAACTCATTCATTTCGTCTGCGGTTTGAAGTTATTGGTTTTGGGCGTCTGCTTAGTCAATACAGCATGAATTCGGACTTTGTTCTTAGTTTAAAAAAACCGAGTTCCAAGACAAAATAATAGGAAATTTAGAAAAAAAAGTACAATATATACAACGTGGAGATTGAAGTTTGGACGTTTGCGGGATCTGAGCTCATGTACTCTGACAACGGCCTGAACTTTACAATGTGTTATAGTTAAGTAAATTTGGGTGTCTGTTAGCCGTCGGTCGTCAGACTTGTAACGTAGTCTGATGCGAGTGAGGACGAACACCAAAGACGAAGTAAGACCACTTGTAAAAAAAGGGACATGCATTAAATTGAACATACTACATAAGCGAAGAAGAAGAGTCGAGCACCGTAACACTTCGTTTATTGTCCTGAGCTTTCAGACTCGTACAGGAGTCCATCGTCAGGGGTAGTGGAAGAAATAGGGCAAGCGGCAGTTATAAGGCACGTAGGCCCAATCATAGACCGACGTCGCACGCCTGGAGGTGACTACGCAGGGCTCTGTACGCCGGCGCCAGATCGATAAATCGATTGGCCGAGTTCTCATCCGAGGCCCAGGCTTCAATCAATTCTCGGCCTGTTTTGTTTCCGGCGTAGACGACTATTTTGGTGGCTACGAAGTCAAACTCGTGACCCATTTCGTAGGCATGGGCGGCCACTTGTGATAATGCGTCGCCTCGCCGCACATCCAGCTTATGTTCGTGTATGCGCGATCCGAGCACGCGTCCGGTCCGTCCTGTGTAATTACAAGGACAATTTTGACACGGAATGCGATACACTACTCCACATTGGCCTTCAGGTTTTAACTGGTCTTTGATTTACATGACCCTGCTGCGCATGGTGGCTTTGGGGTGGTGTGCAATTCCAACACCTAGCTCCGCAGCAACGTGCTCGGTCGCTTCTGAAACACACTTTATGTATGGCAGAGAATGTCATATCGTCGGTGGTGTTGATGCTCGGGTTCTCTGGTGGCGACCGCATAGGCAGCGACCTATGAATGCCCTCGGATAGTCATTTTGCACAAACTGGTCGCGGAGATAACGCGCCTCACCTGCTCTGTCCTTCGGTTTGCTGCAATGAGTTTGGACCCGTTTGAAAAGCGATTCTTTCGCCGCATATCTTGGGAAGACGATCTCCGCTCTGGCACACCACTGGCAAGCCAAAAAAGAAGGAAATTTGGAACGGAAACTGGCTAAGCTAAAGCTACAAGGCACAGAAAGCTTAAACTTGGTCCAAAACCTCTCGTCTAAGCATCTAACAGAGCAGCAACTACGGGTGTTAAAGCATGAAACTTGTTTCAACATCGCAGGTGCCGATAATGTCGACTTCATTGTAAACCTGGAAGCTATGCTTGTGAGAAGTTAAACATCCGACGACATGAAACACTCCGTCCGACAGCGTGTTACCTTCTTGCTGATGACACACGGACCAACGAGATGTTTTTCGCAGAGTGATTCAAAGGCTATGAGGGAACTTAGGAGGGACAACAGCATAATCATTCTACCTGCTGACAAGGGACGATCAACCGTCGTGATGAATAGAGAAGACTATAATGAAAAAGCTAAAGCCCTTCTTGATGACAGAGAATTTTACAGACCAGCACAGAAGTCACAAGCTAAAGCAGTGGCAGATCGACTGAGTAAACTGCTTAGGGATTACCGACATCAAAATGTGATCACGGAGAATGAATGGCACCAAATGAGGGCAACTGACACCGCTCTAGCTCCATTCTATGGTCTGCCAAAAATCCATAAGGCAAATATCCCACTTCGGTCAATCGTTGCCCTAAAATGTTGCCCCACCTACAATTTGGCAAAGTGGATGTACTCAAAACTGAAGTTCCTCCAAGGCAATTCGACTACCTCAGTTCGATCAGCCTCTCAATTCCTCATAGACCTCCGAGGTCGGAGAATTCAATCGGACGAAATCATGGTCTCCTTCGATGTGACGTCGCTATTCACATCCATCCCACCAAATGTGGTGCGCGAAGTCTTGCGCAAGAGACTTCAAGAGGCGTACGATGAGACTCAGAATGCCCTCAAAATTGAACACCTCATGAGGCTGTTTGAATTCTGCCAACAAACTTTCTTCACTTTTGCGGGAGAGACCTATTAACAAATCAAGAGAACCCCAATGGGCTCACCGGTCTCCGGTTTGGTGGCAGAACTGGTCCTACAGGAGTTAGAAAAGATTGCCATCCTCCAACATGAACCGGTGTTTTGGCGCCGTTACGTTGACGACACGTTCATCGTCGTAAAGAAGGACATGCTGCAACATTTCCACAGCCTGCTCAACGCAGTCTTCCCGGACATAACATTCACGAGGGAAGAAGAACAAGAACAGCAGTTTCCCTTCCTGGGTGTGCTCTTCAGACGAAACCTCAACGGAGAACTTGAAACGACGGTTTATAGGAAGGCTACGAACACCACACAGCTTCTCAGTTTCCCCAGCAACCATCCGGTGGCTCAAAAACGAAGCTGTGTGAAGACGCTCTTCAAACGGGTCCAAACTCATTGCAGCAAACCAAAGGACAGAGCAGGTGAGGCACGTTATCTCCGCGACCAGTTTGTGCAAAATGACTATCCGAGGGCATTCATAGGTCGCTGCCTATGCGGTCGCCACCAGAGAACCCGAGCATCAACACCACCGACGATATGACATTCTCTGCCATACATAAAGTGTGTTTCAGAAGCGACCGAGCACGTTGCTGCGGAGCTAGGTGTTGGAATTGCACACCACCCCAAAGCCACCATGCGCAGCAGGGTCATGTAAATCAAAGACCAGTTAAAACCTGAAGGCCAATGTGGAGTAGTGTATCGCATTCCGTGTCAAAATTGTCCTTGTAATTACACAGGACGGACCGGACGCGTGCTCGGATCGCGCATACACGAACATAAGCTGGATGTGCGGCGAGGCGACGCATTATCACAAGTGGCCGCCCATGCCTACGAAATGGGTCACGAGTTTGACTTCGTAGCCACCAAAATAGTCGTCTACGCCGGAAACAAAACAGGCCGAGAATTGATTGAAGCCTGGGCCTCGGATGAGAACTCGGCCAATCGATTTATCGATCTGGCGCCGGCGTACAGAGCCCTGCGTAGTCACCTCCAGGCGTGCGACGTCGGTCTATGATTGGGCCTACGTGCCTTATAACTGCCGCTTGCCCTATTTCTTCCACTACCCCTGACGATGGACTCCTGTACGAGTCTGAAAGCTCAGGACAATAAACGAAGTGTTACGGTGCTCGACTCTTCTTCTTCACTTGTGCATACACCTGGAACTTGAAACCTACTACATTTCTTGTTAATGGCCTAATATTCACAGATAGGGTCGCAGGAGTTTTTGCTTAACAAAAAGTCGGCAGAAAACAGATAGCCGAAGCTCCAGCTTGTTTAACTTTTTAGCGTATTTATGGGACCTCAGGTATTGAAGTGGTCCAAAATTCCAAATACAGCGTTGTGCTTGGTCGGAAGGTATTGTGATTTAAAGATAGTGTAACAGGCGGACCAGAGACCAGGTCTTGAGTGTTTTAATGAACAGCCACATTAGAGGCATTCTTTTCCGTTTCCGTTACAGGAACCCCAAGAGTCTTAATCTCTCGGAGCACTGGGCCTTGATAGTCTCCTTAGCACTTAGAACGATCGGGTTTATCCTCCGAAACTTCAAAACTAGGAACATTAGAATGCCTCTTTACAACATGTACGTTAGACCTGGTCTGGAATACGGTTCGTTTTTATTTAGCCTCATGCGTGCTACCGAGCGGAAGAAAATAGAATCCATTCAACACTTTTTTTACCATGAGATTTTTAACCCCAGAACACCGTGTGAAAAATCTGAAAAATTATTTTTTATTTTAGAGAACTATTACTCGATTTTTGCATTCAGAAAATCTCCCACAAATTTTGTGTGCCAAATCCACTGATGGACTCTACCGTAGCGATGGCGTTTGTGGTCTCTGAACACTATGGCCTGTCTCACCATGGACAATTTCGTTGGCCAACAGCAACAGCTGTTCCTCAACACCTCTACTTTGACTATCCCAAACTTCATGAAAGGAACTGACGTACGATAATCTCCGATACCGTACAACCCCCCTCCCCCCCCCCATCCTTCTTGATGGTCGAATGTATACCGCCAGCAGTTTTTTCTCCTGAACCCTCCAAACCATAAAACTATCATCAACTATATTTTATTCCTTTACCTCAGGAGTTTTTTCCCCTGCTGGTCGGATTTGTGTTTAACTCTTCCCTTGACAATGCCTGTAAACTGGCATTAAGTAAAATTATCAATACCACTATCAATATTATCAACTGCGCTCCCGAATTCACGTGCGGACGAATAACCCCCCGGCTCCTCCTGATAAGTCGTTCCGTTGTATCTTGCGCTTCTCCGTAGTCCACACATATTAGTTTTTCATTTCTATATAATCGAATAAATTTGTATCTTATTACTACCTGTGCTGTCTATTCCACGTCCTGTATGCCGTTCCTCCTGATCCCACCCCTTCTGAGATGCAAGGACTTTTAGACCGGATCCTCCAATCGGCTGGACCATCTGAGTTTAAGCTACCGCCATCCCACTCCTCCATACTTTTAGACCGGATCCTCCAATCGGCTGGACCATCTGAGTTTAAGCTACCGCCATCCCACTCCTCCATAGCCCATTACCATACATCCGTCCCTCGCTCGGTCCATACAGGTAGCTGACAAATTGCTAGTAGAACGTTCGGCGTTCCCATTGGATGGCACACGCAAGTTGTCCGTTCTAGATTCTCCAATTCTATTGGCCTAGGATACTCTGAACCGTCGATCTCGTTGGACTTCGCCAAATTAAGTCAAAAGTTTTCGACTACCTATTGCATACTTCGTTTTCACAATCAGTGATCCTGTAGAGACTAGCCTGAAGCCAGCATGTCAAAAAAGCGGTCCCAAAGATCCTTTTGGTTACGATCTACTCTCTTGTAATCTTTTAGTCTGATCTACGCATACCCACTAGTCTAAATTCAAATCGTCTGGAAGCCATATAAAAACCGAGGAGGACTGACGCTGACAAACTTTGGACCGGAGGACGCCTTCTTGACTCCACCACCGCTCCTGTATCCTCTCCGCTGCCCGGACCTAACAAGGTTTGCCTCCAAACAGACCTGTCCCTGCCATAGGACATCCTAATGTTCCCGACTTATCCCGAACTCCGAACTCGGTCTTTTGTCATCATAAATAATCCCCAAACTCCTCTTAGAGCCCGTCTTTTCTTCTCACTGGGGATCAGAGTAGACTGCGCGTAGCGTTACTAGCCCAAGTCTCGGTTACGTGCATTACAGTGAAAAGAAAATAGAAAAAAACTTGAGTTATCATCATTCCACTTAATTTTTATTAATGGTATGTTTCTTATGTTAAGTAACTGTATGAGAAGCACACATCATAACAAATAAGGCACTACGTTTTAACTTACCGATGCGCATAGTCGAAGTTGGTCCTGCAAACACCAACCCTATAAACAGTAATAGCGATTGCGCGCACACCCCCGCGGAGCTAGTGGTGCAAGTTACAGTTCATTACATTGCCCCTCCTACGAAAAGGACCTGCTGTCCTCAACAGCCTCTGGTATCGCAATGGCCTTACATACATACATACATACATACATACTCCCTTTAGGGGGTACTTTCACAATCGTTCGGCTTGCTGTTGATTACTGGGATTTTCATGCCTCGCGTAGCACCCTTCAGGATCAACCTCTAGATATCGCTCGACGAACTGGTTGTCGTTCCGGTAAGATGGGCCGGCTTACAGTTCAGAGCGGCCGATACTCTCATCCGTCGTTGGTTACGGGCTTTAGGCGATTAAAGTCTACAGTGAAATCGTTCGAATATGGCCTACCTTGATTACGAATTAGACCAGTCGTTTGCGACAGAAGTTTAGTAATAATGCACGAGGCAACCCAATTAGGGTTGAACTTCCGGGCGTGCCCCTGCGAGTAATGCAAAATTACGTATCAAAACAACGTCTCCCACACTAATAATAATTTTTATTCAAGACCCGTGGGGGTCCGTTCATAGCAAGTAAAAATAACTTTTACACGAAGGTTGGAATTTTTTAACAGGTGTACAGAATCTATGCAATACATAATTATTAGTTATTGAATAAGTAGTGTGTTACGAAGAATGATTATCGATCAGTAAAAAACTCCTAACATAAACAAAATGACCATGATTGGATTAGACATATAGGAGGAAAAAATCTCGCTTCTTAATATTTAAAAAATAGGCAGGATCGACCTGCATGTGGCATTGTATAACGGATTTCATGAAGGGGTAAGTAGGCGGATCAGGCAGTGACGGCCTGTATGAGGTATTGAGTAAAAGGTTCGAAACAGGCATCATCAATGCAGAATTCATATGCCGGATGACGCCATTCATGTCAAAGTGGGGAATTGTAAACCAGTCTCGAGGCCATAGGGACCCAGATGCCATCAGTTACAGTCAGCCGAGTCCGGCCGAGCAGGGGGCAGGGGGAGATGCGACCAGACTACAAGAATTTTGGAAAGATAAGTGAAAGTTATATTTTTAGATTCAATTTCTTAATCTCTTGCACAGTTTTCCAGTGTACATCTGACGAAAGTTTGTACTTTGTCATAAGTCATCTTCGCTTCCCGTCGTGTTTCGGCGATTTGTCATAAAGCCGAAATCTAGTGTCGTAGTTTTTCACCCAACATAGCCTCAATTGTATCAAGTGCCTCAATTGTATCAAGTGTTACCTGCATATACAAAAGGTTTTCCTCGTAAAAATATAGAATAGCATTATATTTTGGACGATATACCGTCTCCACTGACCGCTTTTATCGTCGGTGTATTGAGAATTATACTGTTCTCTATTTTATCCTACAAAGCCTCATTATCCAATTCAGATTTATTCATAGTTCTGTTTTGCCCCCCTACGAAATTGTCATTTACCCGTTTTTTTCAAGGTTTCATTCTGTTATTGAGTATAATTTGCTTAGTATAAACTGTGCTGTCTGGTCCACCAATATTGATAGCTTTCAGAAATCGTTTCATCATACATAGCCTCATCCATATATCCTCGAAGTTTCGGCAGTTATCATCCACATACATATGTATATGTATATTGTATATGTATATGTATATTTTGAAGGGTTACAGGTAGAGCCTTTGATGACCCTATTTATGTACAGTGCTTTCGCGGATTCATACTCAAAAGCAAAATAAAATTGCGGGAATTTAATATGTGATTGGGTCACAGTTCAATCGTAATCATAAGGTAGTGCATAGGGTCACTGTAAATCAGTGTGGAAGATTGTATATGACAGATTTTACAAAGCTGGCTGTGCATAGTCATGCTGTACAAGTCGATTTCTGTCGAAAACTAGCCGAACAAGTTTTCTTTTAAACACACGAACTGTGTCAGCCGTCACCATCTCGCTTGGAAGCGCGTTCCACGGCCTGACAACTCGCTGGCTGAATGAAAATTTTCGTCGGTCTAAACGCGTGCGCTCATTCCTGACTTTGTATGCATGGCCGCGTAGTTGGTTTGTACGGGCGAACTCAAAGAAATCCTCTGCTCTTACTGAGCAACCCTGGCCGCAAACAATCCTGAACGTCCAGAGTAGACTGCAGTTTATTTGTCAATACGAGAGAGGGAATAGGCCAAGCAAATTCAGCCTCTCCTGATAAGACAAATGCTTCAAACCGTCGACCATCTTTGTCGCTCTGCGTTGCACATGTTCGAGTAAGTTGCTATCCTTCCTCATCCATGGTGAAGCTGCTGGCATTCCATACTCTAGATGAGGTATTACAAAGACACCAAAGAGTCTTTCGAAAAGTTCGGGAGGAAATATTTTAAATGCACGTCTGATCCAGTGTAGAGTACTAGTTGCCTTCTGGACCATCTTTCTACAGTGTTCTGATGGCAATAGATTTGTGGTCGTCCATAC